ACAGGCTGAGCCGCTGAGCCCGGCTTGTTTTTTTTTTAAAGTAGGAATCTCACTCTGTCATTCAGGCTGCAGTGCAGTGGCACACTTACAGCCACTGCAGCCTCGACCTGCTGGGCTCAGACGATCCTTCCACCTCAGCCCTCCAAGTAGTTGGAACCACAAGTGCGCACCACCACACCTGGATAATGTTTAAAAATTTATTGTAGAGATGAGATCTCACCAAGTTTCCAAGGCTGGTCTCGAACCCATGGGCTCAGGCAGTTCTTTCACCACAGCCTTCCAAAATGCTGGGCTTATAGGCATGAGCCACCACACCCAGCCTGATGTCCAGTTTTCAGCACCATTTGTTGAAAAGACTTCATTTCCTGTGCGATTGCTTTGGAGCCTTTGGGAATTGTGTGGCTGTGTAAGTGTGAATCTGTTTCTTGGTACTCCATATATCCGTCCTTATGCCAGCACCGTGCTGTCCTGATGCCCGGAGTCTTAGGGTGTCTTTTTTTAACTTTTTTTTTTTTACTTGCATACATTTATGGAGTACAAGTGTAAATTTGTTATACTTCCATTTTTCATAGTGGTGAAATCAGGGCTTTTAGGGCATCCATCACTGGGCTAATATACATGGCACATAGGGTGAGTCTTAAAGTCAAGTCCTTCACTTGACTTTTCTGTTTTCAAGTTCACTGATTCTCTGTATCCCCACACTGCTGTGAAGCCTACTCACTGAATTTTTTTTTTTTTTTTTGAGTTGGAGTCTCTCTGTCACCCAGACTGGAGTTCAGTGTCACACTCATGGCCACCACAGCCTTGATCTGCTGGGCTCAGGTGATCCTTCTGGCTCAGGTGATCTTTCTTACTTCAGCCTTCCAAGTAGCTGGAACCACAGGTGTATGCCACCATGCCTGGCTAATTTTTTGTAGAGATGAGGTCTCACCAAGTTGCCCAGACCTGGGACAACCTGGAACACCTGGGCTCAGGCATTCCTCTCGCCTCTGTCTCCCAAAGTGCTGGGATTACAGGTGTGAGCCACCACATGCAACCTATCTACTAATTTTAGTATGTGGGTTATCTTGGAGTTGGTTTGTGTTGATTGCCTTTTGAGTATGGCTTGTATTTTCTTGTTTATTTGTATTTTGGCGTAATTTTGAATTGGATTTTGGACAGTTGTGAATGACATGTAGAAACTCTGGGTTCCATTGTATTCTTCTGAAGAGTGTTGATTGTTTTGCTTTAACATTTAGTTAACTTGATTTAACTGAAACTGCACACTATCTCTTCTGTGGTAGGTGGCATTGAAATCGCTCAGTTTAGTCCTTTGACCTTTGCTTGGATTGTCTGTGTGCCTGGTTTAGGAGGCAGCCAGAGACATATGCAGAGATTGAGGAGAGAATTTGGGGCTTCCCTTTCTCCAGCTGTCTCCTGCTCGCTGTCCCCTGGTTCTTCAAGCCTGTGACACTGTGTACGCCCTGGGTCTGAGCTGTCTATAGAGCACACACTGGCAGCCCTCATGCTGGGGACTGGCAGCCTTGCCGTGCCCATTCCCCTCTATGTCACCTGCCTGCGTACTCTGTTGCTGATATTTCACCTAGAGCTTATGATTATCTGGATGTGTCTGGGATGATAGGAAGTACTTGGCCATTGCTGAAGGCAGAACCCTTTATCGATTTACTTTATTACAAATAACTTCTGAGTATCTTTAAGTAAGATGAGTTCATTATAGAACATTTGAAAATCTAGAGAAGTGCACACACACAAGACATGTTACCTATTATCCTGCCCCAGAGATGACCACTGTTAACACATTGTCTGTTCTCACATCATTCTTTTCTTTCCTTCCTCCCTCTTTTTGTCTATCCCTCTGTCCCCTTCTCTTCATTTTTCCCGTTTTTGTTAAATGTAAATGGAGGTGCTGGCAGGCTATATAGGCTGTATCATCGCTTAATTTTTCCTCTTATGAAGCCTTTCCTTGTGTGAGTAGAGAATCTAACATGACTTGTGATGCTGGATAGTGTCCCTTTCTTTTTACTTTTTCTTTTTTTTATTGCAGTGACTGCAGCAGAAGATAGTGTCCCTTTCTACAGCTGTAGGACAGTTGGTTCAAACAGTCCCTTCTCACTGAAGTTACTTTGTTTCACTCTCTGTGACTGTTGCCTTTAAAATACCTCACTAGGTAGAGTGGGTATAATTGAATCATTTAAAGAATAAGTTAGCAACGAGTGATTGTTAAGTACCATCTTTAGCATTTGCCATAATTGCAAGATGGTGACCAGATGGAAAAGCTTAGGGTTAGGGTTAAGTCTGTGCTGACCAAGACTTGGTTATTTTCTGTCTTGGTAAAATAACATGCCAGTAGCTTCTCTTGTAAACTTTTAAAAATAGATTTTGTTTTTACAGAGCAGTCTTAGGCGTCCAGCAGAATTGAGGGTAGGTACGGAGAGCTGCACCCCCTGCTCCTCTACATGCATAGCCTCCACCTTGATCACATGCCCTTCCAGAGGGATGATTTGTTACACTTATTGAACCTATATGGACACATCGTTATCACCCAGAGTCCAGTTACATCGGAGTTCCCTTTTGGTGGTGTGCAATCTGTGGGTTTGGACAAATGTATAATGATACGTATGCACTATTATGTTATCAAACTACGGTATGGTCTTGTGGTTTCACTGCCTTAAAATCCCCTGTGCTCTGATGTTCATCCTTCCCTCCCTCTTGTCTTGATCTCTGGTGACCACTGATCGATTTACTGTCACTGTAGTTTGCCTTTTCCAGAATGTCATAGAATTGGAATCCCATAGCATGTAGCCTTTTCAAATTGGCTTCTTTCACTTAAACAGTTAATACAACACACATCTATAGACCCAGTAGGTTGCTGACTACAAAGACATGATTTTGAAGATCCAAGTTAATTGGATTGTTCTTAATTGGAATTTTATTTTCCAGTAGGAAGATAGTCTAACCTTTCTTTCCATGACTGGTTTGGATGTAGAATTATGCAGGCAGTGTGACTGACCAGTTGGCTGAGCTGTGGTCTTGGAACAGGGCTAGCGCTCCCCAGGACTTAGCCCCCTTGCTGTCGTTTGGTATGTAAGGCCAGTTAGTTTCCGAGGGACTGTAGGCTTCACGTTGATTTGAAATTCCATTTAAAACCAGAATGATAGTATTTCTTACAAGCCTTTTTCCCCCATCCAGAGGTAAGTTAGAACTTCAAAGTATTATACATAGATATGCATCATATATGTATATTTGAAGACATTGGGTAGGTAACATTTCTCCTATTAAAAAGGAATGAGGTTAATATTTGGGATAATTGTGATAATTGTAGTTTGTATTCATTCTTGTAATACCCTTTAATGATCAGAATCTCATTTTTTCATTTTTTTCCAGCAGCAAGGCCTCGCAGGGAGCCTGGTGACAGGGGCCGGAGGCACATTAGAGGCAGACCCCTTTACAAGGCAGCAGGCGATGCCCCCCGCAGGTATGTCAGGAGTATAGGCTCACTTGGTTTGCGGGATGAGACCCTTTTCTCTCATGGCTCTCACGATGGCAGTTGCCAGATGAGCGAATACTAAGGAACTTAGTTTCTTTCTACTTGGAAAGCTAATTTTTCTTTTGGTAATTATCAGCTAAACAAAATATTTATGTGCCTGTACATATTCTGAAGTGAGGTACTTTTCAGTTGAGTGGATATTCTGTGTGTATTTGGAGGCTCTTTAGTCATGATATGATTACATACAAAATCATCTGCTTTTTGAAGTTGTCATTTTTTTAAACTGAATTTTCCCTTCAAATTATGAACTTAATGTATTTTTAGGTGAAAGAGCCAGACAGTGCAGCAGGGTATAACTGAAGTCTGCCTTGGTGTGGTGCCTGCCCGCTCTCTAGCCACAGCAGTAGCCACAGTGCATGTTGTGTGCATTCTCACAGACCTGCTTCTGTCCATGCACAGCATATGTGTTATTTTAAAAATTCCAGTGTGGGGGTCATATGTGTACTGTTATGTCTTTTTAAAAACAGTTATGTAGCAGATCATCTTTCCGAGTCACACTCCTCTTTCTTTTGATGGCTCCCATTGTGTGAGTGACTCATTCCTTACCAATCAGATCCTTGTTAATGTGCATTTGTTATTGCCACCTTTTTTGTGTTGCAGTCCACTGGGGATTGAACATCTGGCTTCATATTTTTTTTGACATGACTGTCAGTGTATCTAAAGGAGAAACTCCTAGAAATGAGCTGGCTAGATCAAACGCAGGGGCACCTAGGTAATGATGTGCTAAATTACCCTCCAGAAGGAGAGGCCAGTTTCACTACCATCAGCCGGCTCTGGTCCTCTCACATTTTGATCATTTGATTAAGCATGATTTTTTAGTCTCACTTGTTCTGACGAGTGAACAGCTACGTCTTTTGTTTTGATGCGGGCTTCCTTAATTGTGAGCAAGGCTGCACAGATTGTCTCTTGTGTTGACGCTTGTGACTGGTCCTCTGCCTGCTGTTCGTACGCACTACCTGTCTTGTCTGTGTGGCGTCCATGCTTCTCATGTACATTTGTGAGTGCTTCTAAGTGTTGAATGAGTTGGCCTTCTGTCACACGCCTTGCAGTGTTTCAGGTTGTTGTCTTTTATGATGATGGTTTTCCTTATATTGGCAAATTTTTAATGAAAAGAAATTATATTTGTCAACCTTATCCTTTATGGCTTCTGGATTTTGGTTCATGCATAGAAAGGCCTCCCTGTTCAAAGATTATAAAGACACTTACACATGTTTTTTCTACTACTTTTGTGGTTTTCTTTTTACATCAAACTGCACCTTTTTTGAAAATTATTCTAGAGCAGTCTAAGCGACCTCGACTTGAAGTGGGTCATCAAGGGGTAGTTTTCCAGCATCCAGGGGTGAATGCAGGAGTTCCTCTTCAGCAGTTAATGCCAACAGCACAAGGTAAGACCTAGCAGCAGAACCAGTTCTTTCAGCTCACGAGGAGGGAGTGTATAGCCATCTTAAAAACCAACACCAAACTGACACGTGTATAGCCGAGGTAGCATATGTGAAGTGGAGTTTCTGAAATTGGGCTGTTTCTCTGAGTTCCATTAATATAGTATTCAGAGCCCTCGGAGACCCCGTCCTGTGACTCTAATGGGAGCCACATATCGCATTTCATTGCGTTTTTCAGCTGTTTTTAATCCTGCGTTTTTCCTAATTGCTGCTGTCATAGGGGTACCCTATGGTTAGCGATACTTGTTTGCTTGATGCTAACTTGCAGAGGTCAAGCGTCTTTCTTTCCTTTTTTGTGTGCTCATTTGTGACATTAGATCTGATAGAACACCGATTTCCCGGGTGAGTGTATGATGGGTCTCGGACATGTTCTGGGGTGTCAGATATGTTGCCTTGTGACTCACTGGCTGGAAGCTACTACACTAGGGAATCAGTGCTCTTGGCTTTTCTTATCTTGCAGGAGGAATGCCCCCCACCCCTCAGGCCGTGCAGCTTACTGGACAGAGGCAGAGTCAGCAGCAGTATGACCCGTCCACGGGGCCCCCTGTGCAGAATGCTGCCAGCTTGCACACCCCACCACCACAGCTGCCTGGGAGGCTGCCCCCGGCTGGCGTCCCTGCCACAGCCCTCCCCTCTGCACTGCAGCTCGCACAGCAGCCGCAGCTGGTGGAGGCTCAGACGCAGCTCCATATCCCAGGGAAGACTCAGCAGCCGAGCGTCCCCATCCCCACCCCCCCACCCAGCCAGCTGCCCCCACTTCCGCAGCCTGTGCCGCTGGCCCTCCATGTCCCGACACCTGGGAAGGCACAGGTGCAGGCCTCTCAGCTTTCCTCCCTGCCACAGGTACTTGGCATTTTGTTTGCCATTTTGTTAAGTGTGGGGCTGCAGTGTTGGCTTGTCGGCTTGCCATCTGTGTGTTTGACACTGTCCGGCTCCTCCTAGAGTGTGCTACCCCACTTGAGAATAGTTAGTTGACTCATAGTTGCAGTGTAATTGTATTTGGCTCTGGGATAATGGTTACTCTTGCAGTGCTTGGAAGCTGAAGCTGTTATGACCGTGGCTGTAGCCCAGGGAGTTAGCTCCGCTGGCCACTCTCACACTGTGCGTAGGGCATTATGTCAGTTGTCCTCTTTCTGCCTAGTAACTCCAGGTGCTAGGGACCCATTTACCAATGTGGGGATGGAGACTGGGAGGGTGTGGAACTAGCCCCAGGTGACATGGCGATGACGTGATGAGTGGGGCTTCCCCTGACTGTGAGGGCACCCACCACATGCCTTCTTCTCCTGGTTTTGGACTCTGTGTCTTTCGTGCACGTGTGTGAGGCACTACCGACCCAGCTTGAGTTCAGGTAAAGTGCCCCTCCTCCACCAATGGGTAAATTTTACCCAGCTGCATTAAGGGAATGAGCGCAGTGAACTGACATCAGTTCCTGAAGAGGAGTGAAATACTGCAGCCTGGGCACAGGTGGTCTTGAGCACTGCAGGGGAGACTGGGAGGTGTCCAGAGAAATCGTCCAAATTCTTCATCGTCGCCCCTGCCAGTGTGTGGTAAAGCCCACTTCAGAAAACTCCTTTCCTTCACACTCTCCCTTCAGCAGCAAGGGAATTTCCTAGGTGGGCTTTGAGCTCAAGTTCTTTATGGTGATTTGAGATTTAAGGCAGAGTTTTAAATGTGTGATGATAAAATAGTAACGATCAGTAATAGCTATCATTTACTCATTACCTGTGAAATATCAGGCACTGTGATGAGGAATTTATCGGCAACATTTGTTTCCTCTACCTAGCAACCCTAGGAGGTAGCATCTTTTATTATCCCTTTTTTTAATGAGTGAAAAAAACAGAGATCAGACCAACCAAGGACTGGTAGAGCTATGATTCACATTCCAGATGCAGGCCCGCGGGAAAGCTTTGTGCCCACCCACTCTGAGGAGGAGTGCTTGCCCACTGGGCAGTCGAGCTTTTCTAGGCTATCACTTTCCTTAGATTTTCGTGGAAATGACTTATTATCTTTTGAACACTTTCTCTCATTGAGCCACATTCTGACTTGAAGCAGCTCTGTGGTTTTTCTTAGATTAATTTACTGGCCTGTGTCGTTGTAATGATCAGCTGTTGAAAATGATTTTATTTATTTTGGGGGGAGGGAACAATGTTTTTTTGTTTTTTTGTATTTTTTTGAGTTGGAGTCTCACTCTGTCACCCACACTGGAGTGCAGTGGCCACTCCTCGCCACTGCAGCCTCGACCTGCTGGGCTCTGGTGATCCTTCCACCTCAGCTTTCCAAGTAGCTGGAACTACAGGTGCGTGCTACCATGCCCGGCTAGAAAAAAATGATTTTAAAGAAGCTCTTTATAAAGTCTGTAGGAACCTGTTACCTCTAGGCTGGGCAGGGTTGGCAAACTTTATCAAGGGCCAGATAGTAAACATTCCGACTTTGTGACCATTCAGTTTCTGTGGTAAATGTGAAAATACAGCCATGTGTGGTGGTTGACACCTGTAATCCCAACACTATGGGAGGCCAAGGCAGACATATTGCTTGAACTCAGGAGTTCGAGACCAGCCTGGGCAATATGGTAAAACCTTATCTCTACAAAAAAATAAAAAATTAACCACGCATGGTGGCTCATGCCTATAGTCCCAGCTACTCAGAAGATGCTGAGGTGGAAGGATCACCTGAACCCAGGAGGTCAAGGCTGTGGTGAGCCGTGACCACCGTGATCATGCCACTGCACTTCATCCTGGGCAGCAGAGTAGGACTGTGCCTAAAAAAAAAAAAAAAAAAGAAAGAAAGAAAGAAAGAAAATGCAGCCATAACAGCACAGAAGTGGATGGGCATGACTCTGGGCCAAGAAAACTTTATTTCCAAAAGCATGCGACTGGCCAGTTCCCAACCCCGAGGTAGGTACATCTCTGCAGATATGAAGGAAGAAGCCCTGTGCCATGGATGCAGACACTTGGATAGAGAGAGAATTTTAGCCGGTATCTCTTTTCTACCTTTAGGTTATAAACGTGCTGTGTTTTGTGTTAGTCTGGTTCAGCCCTCTCGTTTTCTCTGCTTCCTACTCTCCATTTTCTCCCCAGCAGGATTCTGTGTGCATTTAATTCAGTCTGTAGTCCAGTGAGTAGCAAGAGGAGGAATTTTAACCCTTTCAGCCTGAGAGGCACATGGAATTTGTATTTGCTCTTCATAGAAAAGGTGCAGAATGAGCACTGGGTATTTTTTAATTAGGGAAAAGCTAACACAATTTTAAAAAAAACTAGCCAGACACAGTGGCTCATGCCTATAATACTAGCTACTTGGGATGCTGAGGTGTAGATAATTGCTGAGCCTGGGAATTTGAGTCTAGCCTGGGCATCATAGCAAGATGTTAAAAACTGTTAAAACTGTTTAAAACATCTGTTTAAAACTTCATTTAAAAATAGTGGAGAGTCAGGCTCGGTGGCTCAACCTGTAATCCCGCGCCTTTGGGAGGCTGAGGTGAGTGGATTGCCTGAGCCTGCGGGTTCGAGACCCGCCTGGGCAGCGAGACCTCATCTCTACAATAAATCAAAAAATCAGCCGGGCGTGGTAGCGCATGCCTGTAATTCCGGCTACTCGGAAGTCTGAGGCGGAAAGATCGCTGGAGCCCCAGCAGG